GTAACTTCCTCAAGACCCTTGACTATCATTTTCTGGAACTGCCAAAATAAAGAACAGATTTGGTGGTGCACTCCTTTAATCCTAGCACTCGAGGCAGAGGCAAGCAGATCTCTTGAGTTCAATACCAGCCTAGTCTGCAGAGCAAATTCCAGGACAGCCAGGACTACACAGAGAAACCCTGTCTTGAAAAACAAAAACAACAACAAAAAGAAAGAACACAACAGAACTGAGGTGGCCAGTCACTGCAAGTGACAATCAGGGGTCCTCACTAGATTATAGAATCCTTTGGGAAGGGACTTGGCTTTGCGTCCACACTTTACCTCCAACACTAAATGCACCATAGGACTTTGATAAAAGCATGATACTACAGGAAAGTAAAGCTAGCACCTTGGCTGTTATCACCTGCACCAGGAATTGTTACAGCCATTACCTTAGTCTGAAAGAGCTACGTTACAGAGTCCTGATTGAAAACTGAACATGCAACTCAGACTTAATAAAGGTAACCAGATTAACCGGAAGGCACTGGCTTCCCAGGTTAAAGAAACCCAGACAGTCCCTGTATCTTGCTTCTCCCTGCTGCTCATCTTTTTGCACCACGCCAGGGACCACAAAGGGAACACAGCCTGTGAAGGATCTCTCTCACCGAGTCCTTTGGCTAAGGGTCTTCGAGTCTTCTATATTCCAGTTCAAACTTTCCAGCTAGAAAATGGGGAGGGGATAGAAGAAAGAGACAGTGGGAGGCACAGAGGGAATATAAATTCAGGGAAAATATGATGTGCCTTTAAACCTTCCAAAATAGTATATGATCTTTCTGCTTATGTAAGGGAGTTTGCAGCCGAAAGGCCCAAGCTGTGTACGCCCTATGGATCAGGCAAATTTGGGCATGTCTGAGAAGTGGCTAGGCGGATCCACCAAGGCTCCTTGCATCTGAAGGGAATAAAAGCATCCCTAAGGAATAGGAGAGTGGGCATGCATTCTCTCCCCAAAGTCACAGTTATTAGTCCTATTGTAACCATGTTGGGGATAGTCACCGGTGTGCCATGTACTATGATAATCCTCAAGGGAAACGAGGCTTTCATGTAGGCATTATTCATGACCTTTGCAAACTAGTTCCCTTGTGCTTTTATTTTGGGACTACCACAAGGAAAAGAGCAATGGTAAAAAACCAAAAAACATAAAAACAAACAAACAAAAAACCCAAAAACTTCATTCCTAAAATTGCCATAACCAGGAGGAACACATGACAGATGGTAGGTGGACGGAGGGTTGGTGGCTCCCTGGGGGAGTGACTTCCTGGTGGAGCATGCCGGAACATATTGCCTCATCATGGCAAGAAGGGAGTCATTTCTATAACTGGGAATCTGGATCAAGAAAGGAATAGTCTAGGATGCTACTCTGAAGGCTGGACTGCCCAGGGATGTACACCACAGACACTTACTAAGCTCTATGGAGGGAACCTGTGGGACAACAGAGAGCATCACAGGCCACATACACCAGCTACCTCATCGCATCATCCAGAAAACACCCCTACAGGAAGACATTGAGGAGAGCAGCATGTACCACATTAGGCTGTCTTGAATATACTGGATAGCATATATATAAACACAAGTGTACAAGTGTTTTTTTCTCCCTGGGGTCTGGGGCAGTTCAATCATTTGCAAATAGCATTTAAGTCATAATGGAAGCTGGGCAGTATGAGTTTTGGAGGGAGAGGATATGTCTGAAGCAGAAATCATTTTGGCTTTTTATAATTTATGGAATCATTGTGTTCCCAAATTTTTTGCCATTGAAAATAATAAACCAAAATTTCAAGATACCACATACTGCAAGACCTGGTTGCCTCTGTCTGGAATTTCAACATTCAGGAGGCTTAGGTAGGAAGATAGCCATGGATTCCAGGTCATTCTGGACCACACAGAGTTTCAGGCCAGCCTGGACTACCATGTGCAACTCTGCCTCAACAAAGCAAAATAGGGAAAAACAACACACACACACACACACACACACACACACACACCACCACCACCACCACCACCACCACCACCACCACCACCACCACCACCACCACCACCACCCACAAAACCCCTCATACTGTGGTTTCTCTTATTCTGTGTGAGGGACACATTCTAAGATCCCTAGTGGCTATTAGAAACCACAGATAGTACAAAATCCTGTACTGACAAAATCCTTGTTTTTCTTGTACATAAACACCTATGTTAAAGCTTAATTCATGTGCTAGGCACAGGAAGAGATAGATTCTATATCACCAATGAATAACAAACTGGGGCAACTAAAATATGCTATAATAAAAGTTACATGAGTCTAGATTTTCTCTTTCAAGGCTTCTCCTCATCTTCTTGTAGTTTTGGATCAGGGTTGAGAATTAACTGGCTAGGGAGGAGGAACACCACTCTGGAAAATCAAACCAAGGTTCTCTAACTCTGGATTGTCTGCCAGAGATGAAAAAGCCTCTACATCATCCATTCATATCTTATAGCTATATTAATAACTTTGATATTGGCCTTTGTCCCCGACATTCAATTGTGTGTGTGTGTTTGTTACAATGAGAATCACAAATATGATTTGATACAAGAGAAGAACAAAAATAAATAAACTGAAAAGTATAAATTATACACCTTAAAAGGAACTGAAATAATTTATCAATGTGAAAAAATATCCTCTAAAGTGTTTTGCTGACTTGTTCTCCAGGACATCAAGAAGTCAAGCCTTTGATGGCTTCAGAGATTAGAAACACCAGATCCCACCAGCCCCTCCCCAGAGCTCAGGCAAGATGTAGCTCCTGGGTCAGAAAGTATTTTGAAGGTTGTTTCTGTTAAAGTTAGATGCTACCTGGCATTAGAGAAGCCATGAATTTATATTAGCTGCCTCATGATATAACCCCACTCCCACCTTAAAAACATTTGTTCCCTCACATTTAGGATTTCTATCCAAACACTGAAGTCAAGTTCAAATTTTAAAATAAAAAGAGTATATCTTTTGTACGATCCTGTGAGATCTTGTAGGAATAAATAAATACTAGTGTTTATCCTTCATTATATTCTATCCTGGCAGAACAAATATCTGCCAAGGTAAAGACAGGGATATCACTGTGAGCTTGAGGCTAGCCTGGGCTACGTGAGTTCCAGGACAGCCTAGGCTACAATATATATCCTTAGCTCAAAAGAAAAAGCAACAAATAAATAAAAGGCACATCACTGTTAATGATCATGTTAAGATAAGCATTAAATACCCCATCATTAAAGCCGATGAGATGTCTTGGTGGGTCAAGGTGCTTGCTGCCAAGACTGATGGCAGAGGTTTATCCCCAATGCACACAGTAGGACAGAACCAACTCCTGGAAGTTGTCCTCTGACCTCCACCACATGCACGCTATAGTACATGCGTACCTCCTCTCTGTCTTTGTCTCTGTCTTTCTCTCTCATGCACACATTAATAATGAAAAATGAATTTTTTAAAGAAAGAAAGATGTATTCAAAGACGACAATGTCTGGGAAGCACGGATGTAATGACATTTGTTGCGTGTCTCCAGGCTGCCTGGCTAGGAGTCATTTTGGTATCTGACAAGGACATCAGCTGAAAAGAACTTGCAAGATTTCTCTTTTCTCTTTGCCCTCTGGCCAAAACACATACCAAGAATGAAGGTCCTACATCTTTAAATCTTTTATCTCCCTTGATCCACTTTTGAAGCAATCTGTAACATGAGCTTGAAAAATAAAACCCTAAACCAACAAACCTGCCTATGGAGTACACACGTTTCCTCCACTTTCCCTGGTGTCCTAAGCCATCTTGCTTTCTGCTCTCTAAAACTCTCCCTTAAAAAAATCCAGCTGCCTAAAATACAAATCACAGTGAAAACCTCGATCCCCCCACATGCTGGTAATCAACTTTTCTCCTTGAAGGAAATGGTTTCAACAAACCACTAAATATTTTTCAGTTTAAATCTCTCCAACAGTTGTCCCCAGTGTTTTGTTTTTGTTTTTGTTTTTAAAGCAACTCACCGATGAAGAGTATTCTTGGCATGTGTCTCAGGTAGGTTCAGTCCCAAAGATCTTACATTTTTCTCAGCTGTTCGTTATTTCATCAGGGAAAAGCCGAAAGCAAAAACTCCCGGTGCTCCGCGAGGTCCCACCCAGAGCCTCCCCACACGCCCCAGCAGCTGCCTGCTGCGGCTTGTTTTTCAGGGACAGTGACCTCCAACACCTTTGATTTAGCGCTGCATCTCAATCTTAATGGTTCGCCAGCGCAGGGAGCAAATCACGTGCCAAGCCAACACCTTAAGAGGGTGGGAAGCATTGCAAGCAGGAAGACGTGTGGAAAATACTCAGCCGTCAGCTTGGCTACACAGCAGAGCCCTTCTTGTTTGTCAAAGACTGACAGGCGAGTGGAGGGGCAATGGTTTACGCAGCGCCCAACCGGGAACTGTCTGCGCTCCTGCCTGCACAGCTCCAAAAGCAAACTGCGGCCCCTCCCTCGCCTTAGACTGAAATTCCGGCCAACCACTCAAGAACAGTGGCGTCAGCATTTCTGGAAATCATATTAACTGCCCTTTCGGTTTTGGAGTTGATTTTTCTCCACTTTTTTTCCCCCACCTGATACTTATTTTCTTTGGGCCTTTACCTGTCAGCTCTACTTCCGGACAGAAACACATGGTCACCAAAAAGCAGTGGTTTAAATAGATCTTTCTAGCCAAGGCACAGAACCTGCTCTTGGCTCAGCAGATTAACTGTCAATAACTCTTTCCCAACACTTAACCCGTGCTTCTCCAGCTTCCCCACCATGATGTAAGCAGTTGCTTTAAAAGTAGCTTTCAGGTGAGTTTCACAGTCCCGAAGAAGTATGCTAACGTGAGTGAGACCCTGTTTACTCCTCGTGACTACAGCTCTAAGAACAGACTTTGAACACTCTGGCCACCAAACAGGCTACGAGCCTCAATACCAGCTAACCAAGGAAGCTGTCACACGATCTGAGTTAAAACTCACCCTTTTGTTCTCTGAGACTGAGGCTTAAGGGTCTCCTTCCCAGATCTTCTGAAGGAGAACAGTGAAGCAAAGGACGACCGGAAGCTCATTCGGGGAGAAACAGACGGTTTTTGGTTTATTAGGTTTTTAGATCTTGATGTTTGTAGTTCCATCGGATCTGGGGGGAAAAAGCCAAGATTTTTATACCTGGAGGCAAGCTGGTAGCTTGGTTGTGGAGTGCCTGCCTAGCACAGGGAGCCCTGGCACCCATGCCCATCGCTGACAGAGTGGCACCTACCTATAAACCCTGCTCTTGGGAGGTGGAGATAGGTGGCTAGAAGTCAAGGCACACATTACATTTTAGGTCAGATTGTGCCACATGAGATCATTGTCTTTCAAAATTTCAGATTAATATGCTTTTTGGTTATTTTTAATTTGAGATGATTATATAGTATAGCTCTGTCTAGCCAGGGAGTCCAGGTTGATCTCAAGCTGGCAATCCTCCTGCCTCCTGTGGTTATAGGCATCTGCTGCTACACCTGACAGATAAGTCTATTCGAAAGAAGGAAGCAGGTGGCATCCCCGCAGGACCTCAGGAACGAAGGGGTTTCAGAGCTGTTTCTCAGGCTACTGTGCTCCGGTGACTCCGGTGGGTGGAGAAAAACTTCACACTCAAGCAGGGTGTTTTCAGTATGTGTCACAGGCCACAGTTCTGAACCGGGAGGGTTCCTTGCCTGGCGCTGGCTCAGTGTGCCTTTCTCATTACATCTTCTACACGGATGCCCGACATCCAAGCTAGCAAGTCAGGGAGCCCGTTCATTCCGCATCTTCTGATCCAAGTATCTTTTTTTTTTTTTTGGTTTTTACGAGACAGGGTTTCTCTGTATTGTTTTGGAGGCTGTCGGTCCAGCCCGGCCTCGAACTCACAGCGATCCACCTGCCTCTGCCTCCGGAGTGCTGGGATTAAAGGCATGCGCTACCACTGCCCGGCATCCAAGTATCTTAGAAAATACCAGTTCTTTAAAATGATGGAAAGAGTTTTCCTATGACTCTTTAATGCCAAAGAAAGTAAATAAAAGGGAAATGAAACCATTTAGAGTGTTCCTTATTCCTTTCCAACATCTATTCTGGTGTGGTATGTGGTGTGTGTGTGTGTGTGTGTCTATGTACATTTATTTGATTTATGCGTATGCAAGTAATATGTATAATAACATATAGCTTTATATGTGAGCCTTTGATTTTAAATTTAAGGCCCATTCACATATTCAAAGACCGTAATACCATAATCCTTTTGTGCACACTGACTTTATATTGGAGTTCAAGGTAAGGCACCATGGCACACACATGGGCTCAATCTAACACTCTGAGCTTTGAGCTGGGGACATAGTTAAGTGACAGAACTCTTGCCTAGCATTCGCGAAGCCCTGGGTTTGACCCCCAGCACCATGGGCACCACTGCCACACTTACCCCACACACAAATGAAAACTTGGATTTTTCGTTTAGATGATTGTTTTGTTATGAGAGCTGGAGATTTCAACCATCTGTACATTCAGGAATACTATAACCTGTTTTCAAAGTGTTACTCATATGTAAAAGCAGTCCATGAGGCTGGTTCAGTAGCATGGTTAGTTTATAGTTTACTCTTTCTGATAGTTTGCCACACTCATGGGTGTCCTGTGGAAACAGGTTTCACTGCCCTCATTAATAGCTTAAGAAAATGGGGTGAAGTTAAGTGACAGGCTGGCAGTCAGAGCCAAGTGTCCACAGCAGGTGCTTACTGCCACTCACTATGGAGACTACTGAGACTCAGAGGGATCACAGCTCCTCTGCCAGCTTTCCCCTTTCTGCTGTGAAACCCCCAGCCTTCTCTTCTGCCTTCTTCATCATTGTTCCGTTTAGGTAAGTGAGTACTAGGTTCCTGGTTAATTCTCTGCCTTTCTTTCCTTTTCATTGGGGAGGGAGGAAAGGCTTCTGTAGCTCAGACTGGCCTGAAACTCCTCACAATCCTCCTGCCTCAGCCTGCTGGGATTAAAGGCACAAGCCATCAGAATCAGCTCAGGTTAATTCTTTTTAAGTCTGTAGTGTGTTGATGTGTCCCAGTGTAGGTGTGAGTGTTTGTGCACAGCACGCTCATGCATAAACACGGCTGGGTTGGGCAAACTTTAATTTGTCAGTCTGCACCCTTCTGCCTTCTCTTGATATTCTGTTGCAATGCCGTGTGGCAGGGCAGCCAGTCCAGAAGCCTCTGAGAATTCTCCTGTCTCTCTCCCTTGTCTTTCACAGGAGAGAGAGGCTGTAGCTTGTTTATGCTACCCAGATTTATGTAGGTTCTGGGGACTCGAATTCAGGTCTTCACACTTGTGAGGTGTGTTACTTTTGGAGCTGTATCCTTGGCCCTTAGGCTAATTCTTAACACATATAATCTTATATTATCCTATCAGGTAGACATTATACCCATTTAAAAATGGAAAACATATTGAAGTTTACCAAGAACAAATAATCTGACCACATTCCCAGTGAGTTGCATCCGGCATTTTGTCATCTGCCTAAACTGTCTAGCATATGATATAGTACAAAACTTAAATCCTTTATAACGGCCCTGAGCCATAAATTGATTAAATTGCAGATACATGGGTTCATTGTCTACAACACTATACCACAAGACAAGGAAAAGATAATTTAAAGCAAAATTATTTTTTTTCTCACCATTTTTTGTCATCCCCTTCCGTAGCCTGTATGTAAGTGGTGGTTTTATCATTTGGCTAACATCCGTTTCATTGCAAAACTTCTTTCTTTGAATTTCTTCAAACCATTCGCCAGTTGCTCCTTGAAGCCATCTGATGTCCCTCTTTGTCTTTTGAAGTTTGCTGAAATAAAACAAAAATATCAATGCACTGTTCAAATCCATTCCTAATTAGAGTAGCTCGTGTAATGAGCTAAACTTTGCATATTAGAGAGTCAGCACTGGCTAATAACCCAAGGAAAAGTTGCCCTAGTTAGAATTCCCCCTTTGATCATGGTGTGTGTATTGACACACATTCTTCTGGAGATGGTGCATTCTTCTGCATAGGATGACAACTTAAAAGTTTTTGATGGTTGTTAAAATAATCACAGAGTGAATGACAAGAAACCTGATTGAGCAATGTGTTAAGACCTGATCTAATAAAGCAACTAAATGATAGATGTCCTAATGACAAGTAGAAACCAGAACATTCTGGTTCTGATTACTCATTCACTTATTCATTAATACATTAAATGTTTATTGAGTAACATTAACCAACTAAATGTTTATTGAGGTCCTGTGTAGGTTGTGGGGAATGTAACAGATAGGACCCTTACTCATCTGTTTAGTGGTCAGCAACTAACAGGTAGGTTGTTAGCATAATTGAAGGCCTTGGATAATGAAATTTGTTCAGTACAGAGACACAAAGACCATGAATGTGAACAGAGTTAGGGATCAGGCTGAAGAAGACATGGACAAAAACACCAAGTAGAGAGCAAAAGTGTGCACATTGCTATATCTTTGGCATACTAGATTTGAAATCCTAACACAACTATTTTTTCCCATGCTTTTCCTTATTTAGCTGTCTTTTCAAAGAAAAGTTGCTTTATGTCCTTAACTAATTCCTCTCCAGGGTAAATCACTTCTCAGGAGGACTCTAGAAGTATTTGGAAATGATAGATGCTTAATCCAGAGGGAGATAGCCCTGGATGAAGACCATGATGCCAACCTTAAAAGCAGATAATTTAGCACTGCTGAAAACTCTAGGATTGTTTGTTTCCAAATTTGGGAACTTCTAGTGTTTGGGGAATTATTTCAAATACTTGTGGCTATAATACTTTATCCAAGGTCTTTTGGAAACCATGAGTGTTATGACTCTGTGTGTGTGTGTGTGTGTGTGTGTGTGTGTGTGGTTTGAGAATGAGGTCTTGCTATGTAGCCCAGACTGGCTTTGAACTCATGTCAATCCCTTCACTTCAGTTTCTCAAGTGCAAGGATTACAGGTTTGAGTCATTGTGCCGGGATTTGGTGTGGGGTGTTTGTATTGCTAAGAAGATAGCAAGCAAGAAGACAGTCAAGTGGCCACTTTGGAGTTAAAGCCAATGAACCAAGAAGGCATAACTCACCCCTGCTTGAGGCTATGATACTGCCGTTTTATAAAAAAGTATTTGAGAAACCAGGGGTCATCCTGCCCAGACTTGCATTTTGAAAAGCACTAGGCAGCTGCATCATTATGTTCAGCCTACAGATTTGCATTGGTGCCTCTCTTTGTATTATTGCCACCTCCTGTCACCTGGCCAGTCACTCCTGTCTCTATTGCCATCTCCTGTACTAACAAAACAAAGAGGCCCCCAAGTGTCTGCTTCTAACCAATTCCCTCAAGAATGTCTTTCATCAGTCTACCAATTCCATTTTTCTTAGAGCTCCCTCTAATTGTTGACTTCCCAGAAGACTGAACCCCCCTCTACTCCTGACATATCCATTGTATTTCAGGAGCTACCTGTCTTAGGATGCTCTGTATGAACTAAATAGAGGGATTTCTCCCCCCCCCACCTCCCACCATCCATAGGTTTGGGGCAACTTGAATTCTCTTGTAAATATAATCACAGTCAGTCCCACGGCAAACACCAGTCTGTGCTCGCACACATGACCATCCCCGTGTCTTTTCCATATTGTGGCCAGTGAAGCTAGTAATCTATATTTCCCTGCATACTCATACACTTTGAATTCTTCTCCAGGAAATACATCTTAAAGTAAGAACCCTTTTAAGCACACAAATTTAAGTGAATACCATGTAATTGCTAACTGTAATTACATAGGCAATGTAGCAAAATTGATGCAGTTTGAAACAAGAAAAAGAAACAAAACATAGAATTGAATCTATGATTATAGCTATGCAAAAATTACACAATCACTTGTATATACTAGGGGAAAATAGAAACATCTGATCTCTTACAGTAGAATAATTGTAGGTACTGTGTCTATGGCTAGCCTTTTGTCATATGGATTCTGTAATTACAATGTATTAGAAGAGCTATTTCTGTTTAATTGTGAATTTTTATTATATTATAAAAAGGTATCTTTTTATAATTCTAACTGTGGTTTTGTTGTTGTGGTTGTGGCTTTTCCCTGTGTTTTTACGTGGTTCTGGCAAATGTATCCAGTATACATCTGGAGAAGGCCTCCTACTGTGCAGATACTGAGTTACCTCTCTAGGCAGAGCAGGAATGACCCCTCCCTCAGGAGACTGAAGTCTAAAAGGAGAAAGCCACAAGAATCCCACAATGACACAGATTAGGTAAGTGACAGTGCTACATGTAACTTGGGAATTAAATACACATTTGAATTCTGGGTAAAGAACAGTGAACGAGTCGAGTCCCCTTTCTCACAGAATTTAAATTCTACTGGGATAGGTACTGTGTGTGAGCCGTCAGTAAGAAAAAAGTAAAGAGGTCACAAGAGAGTGTGACAAGAGGCTCTGCACTAGGACAGCAACAACGATTCCCTGAGGCGACCGACCGGGTGGAAGGCACAGGAAGAGGAAAGGTTCTTGCAGAGAGATGCCTAGGCAGGAGGTATCAACCATAGATAGACAGCAATCCTAGGCAGGAGAGTATTAACTGTAGACAGTGTCTTAGGCAGAAGCTATTAACTGTAGACAGTGTCTTAGGCAGAAGCTATCAACTGTAGACAGTGTCTTAGGCAGAAGGTATGTGTAGGGGGAAACTTAGGACTCCGCCATTAGCCTCGTGACGCTCTAAAGACGCATACGGATGTGGTAACAAAAGGACGGAACTGCACCACTAACCATACCCACTTTGGGCATGACTAGAGACAGGGCAGTGAACTAAGCCACTAGCCAGGCCCAATTTGCAGCATCATTTTGGTGTCAGGAGTTCCGGAACCCGGATCCAGGCCCCCTGGAAAGTGGCTGCCCCTCGGCCCGAATCAACAAGTGTGCCTTGTCATTGCAGCATCTGGTATCAACCTTAAACAGCATCCTAGGCAGAAAGTATCAACCTTAAACAGCGTCCTAGGCAGAAAGTATCAACCTTAAACAGCGTCCTAGGCAGAAAGTATCAACCTTAAACAGCGTCCTAGGCATAAGATATCAACCATAGACTGTCCTAAGCAGGAGAGTATCAACTGTAGGGAGCTGCCTAGGTAGAGTGTGGCAATGGAGAAGAAAGTCTAGAGAGGCAGCCACAGTTTTCTGTAGCATTTGGTGTCAGGTAAGGTGTTGGGCATTTGAAGCAATGGTGTATGTGTGTGAGTCACATTGGATTTACATTTAGCTACAGGCAGAGAACAGATTCCAGCATGGGACTGAAGACCAGTCAGAGTACCTATAGAGTCCAGGAGAAAAAAACCATTTATTTCAAACTGATGATGTTGGGGCTGAGGAAAAATGGAGAGTTTTTAGGGAGATGGAATGATTTGGGGGGGGGTTAAGGGTACATGCCAAAGAAGAACGCTAGATTTCTTATTGCTATAACACAGAGAAGACACAATTTGTAGAGATCTAGCATATATAACATTAAAATGACATTTATCAAAAACACCTTTAGGGCTAATAAGATGACTCAGCAGGTAAAGACCCTTGCCACCAAACCTGATGACCTGAGTTCATTTCCTGTGACCCACGTGGTAGAAGGTGAGAACCACCCTCACAAGTTATCCTCTGACTTCCACACATGTGCCTTGATGCTTGGACACACACACACACACACACACACACACACACACACACACACACACACACACACACATTTGTAACTGCTTATTTTCAGAGCAATCACTAAATATTCAAGGTAATATATTTCCCATCTCCCAGAACAAGTCACTGAGATTTCCTCTTGTAAATATTTCTGTAATTAACATACCATGAATTTTTTTACCTTCCTGGTGTCTCAGACAGAAATATAATGATGGGGTTAGAGAGTTAATACATTTTTGGAATTCTTTATACATAAAGCCAAAATGCCTTCCAAAGGGTATTAATCAGGCTACAAGATACCAGCCTAGCATAGACACCCTTAGAAAGCTTGGTATAATTATTTCAACTATTCTTATTTTCCTTATGTAATATTTTAAAGGTACTATATTTATGATTGTCAGTAATTATTTTTGCTCTGAGAATTTTCTCTTCTGTTCAATATACTACATTTCTAAGAAATGATGTTGAAGTATTTTGTGATTATATTTTGTGTTTTGGCATTACATGCTTTTTAAAATTTATGAACCAAGACTTCTCCTTTGGAATCAGACATTTTAGAAAGTCCTGATTTTTCTTATCTGTTCTAAATATTTTTTTTCTGAGACAGAATTTCTCTGTATAGCTTTGGAGCCTATCCTGGCACTTGCTCTGTAGACCAGGCTGGCCTCGAATTCACAGAGATCCACCTGTCTCTGCCTCCCGGGTGCTGGGATTAATGGCGTGCGCCACCAATGCCCGACCCTCTTCTAAGTATTTAACCCAGGTTTTTGACATTTATTAGGATTAAACTTTGAATGTTGGTCCTTAAAAACAAGATTCTAGACAGGGCTGAAGTATGTATAATCTATAGTTAAATTTGTGATAAAATTCTATTTGTTTCCTGAGGGCAATAAGAAATGAAACTCAGGAAGCAGAGATACCTACATATACCATAAGAGCATGATTCAGAACAGTTTGAGAAACTGTAAAGGAAGTACAAGTATGCCAGGGGTGACTCGGGGCTGGCAGACAGGACAGTCAGGAGCCAGGAAGTTCAGGGTTCAGGTTGTCAAAGAAGGCTCTGTGTTCACTGTTACAAAAGGAAATCAGAATTAGTTCTGGCGTTTGAAGCATGGGCAATGGAGGTGGAGGAACTAAGCATGACATGA